CCGATACTGGTGCCACGGATGGTCCAATCTCTAACTTACAGTTTCGCCAAGAGTCGTTCATGTACCGGCGAAACGACTGGCCCGATACTGGGACCACGGATGAGCCAATGTTCAAACTTTAATTTTACCGAAAATCATTCCTGCGATCAATACATTGGCGCCACAATGTTGGCGTCATATAAGTTACTGATCTTAGGTCTATCTGACCACTAAGAATATTTAGCCAGTGTTGGCTAAGATTGTCTTGTTAGTATAAAATTGCAACATTGTGCCAATACTTGAAATCCATATCTGACCAATCTCGGAAGTAAGTATCGTGCCGAGCTTAAGAGCCAGCGTTGGCTCGATCTAATCATTAAGCATATTCGCCCAGTACTGGCTACTACTGTCGTACCAATATCGAGCCTTGTTTGCCGATATTGACCCAATACTGGGCCGTTCGTCAATTCCTACAAGGGTACGCTTTAAAACGCACGCTATTAAAAATTGTTAAACAATGTTAAAGTAAATCGCAAACATACACAATTATTTTTTATTCAAGCCACCTCAATCTTGGTTTCATAGCTGGAAGGTCTATTTCACCATTTCGAAAAAAAAATTAACGCATTTATTAAATTTCCAGAGTAAAACGAAACGTCGCGGTAATATATACGCGATCATCGTGCTCGCTTCAAAAGAATGAATCGCGCGCGATTATTCGCGCTCTACGGATTATATTTATATTTACGGTGCAATATTAATTACATTTGTTAGTAGTGTATTAATGTAAAATAATATTATCATAATAATTATTATCGCAATAATGTTTATTATTCATGACGATTATATAACGTCGGCGATTGAGCATGCACGCGAGCAACCGGGTGTGCGAGATTCACGGGCGAGCGTGAGCCTCGTATGTTACATCGGGCGTGCGTAATCCGCTTGCGCGATAAAGAATGCACAAATACACCCGTACGATCAACACAGATTCTATGGGCATAAAATGCGATTCGGAAGCGGAAGAACGCACGACCAAAAGCGCGCGCGCGCGCACGCGCACGAACGATTCAAACGCGAATGATAATACTCTTGACCGCTTGTACTACATTCCGCGCCGCACACTCATTAGCGTAATTGGCGTAAGCCTCTCGATTAACGAGGACGTTCTGCGGGCTCAGGTGGACACGCGTTAAAATGAGTGTTGTACGTCATTTAATTAAGCGAAACGCATCGCGCCGTAAAATAAAGACGTTAGAGCGGCGATTACAGCAAACCGTGTGAAATTCAGTTTCCCGCGATTCCACATTAGTTTCTCGGCCGCAAATATACTTTCGATCGAGCGCGCGCGAAATTCGCGGCCCAAAATTCGGCAACCACGTGGCAGTTGTTGGTTACGCAAATTGCGCAAGGGATGGGATGTGAACTGCAACGTGTAGTATATAAGCTGTGCGGTCTTTCGAACCGTTCGTGCGTCATAATACCGCGCTAGCTTCGTGCTTCGCAAAAAAAAAAAAAAAAAAAAAAACAGTATCCCTAACGGCGCGATCACGCGAAGCGAAATGGCGCGTCCGACGGGAAAATGTTACACAGATTTCGCGACGAGATCTCGCGAGCGTTTTACCGTTGCCGCTTCGCATCCGTACAAACGGCCGCGTCACATTTTACAGCCGGTCAGGGTGTTCATGGAAGAAAATTGAAGCGTTAGCGGCTTTTTTCGCTTGTTCGCCGTGCAGTTCGGACTAAACTATCTTTTACCGTCGCTAAAACGCGCCAATTTTTCGACCTTTGACAGCGTTTCGCGGCCACGCGATAAAAAAATACGCGAGCGTCGAACCGCGCGCGTCGAACAGCGGCACGCGAATTATTTCCGTCCGGTTCGGTTTTGGTTTAATTTTTATTCGAATTCGTGTGCGCGCGCGCAACATTACTTTCTTTTTTAACTGTTACTATCAAAGTTTTAGCGACACGCGTGTGAACACACGTCACACTTTATTCGATTCTACGGATTTTGCAACCGAGCTGTTAATTGTTGTTCTCTCTGTTTTTCAACATTGCGGAATTATTAAAAAAAACTAATTGTTGAATTTTTAGCGCGCGCGATAATTTACACAATTATTTCTACGTCGCGCTTTATTCAATTTTAATACGGAGTTTGCAATCCAGCTGTTGATTGTTGTTCTCTCTGTTTTTCAACATTGCGGAATTATTAAAGAAACTAATTGTTGAATTTTTAGCGCGCGCGATAATTTACACAATTATCTCTACGTCGCGCTTTGTTAATTTCTAATACGGATTTTGCAATCCAGCTGTTGATTGTTGCTCTCTCTGTTTTTCAACATTGCGGAATTATTAAAA